CGAAGCGGACCCCGCGGTAACGGGGCGGTCCCCGGGGCAGCGGGCAGGCGCGGGCGGGGGGGCACGGGCGGGCTCCCCAGCGGGGCCCTTCCCCCCCCTTCCGTAGCTTCAGCTCCCCCTGGCTGCTCCGCTTTTAGCTACGAACGAGTGCAAACCGAAAGGTGGGCTACTTCCACGTGCGCCTGCGCTTTCGTATTAGCTCTTCTTCGCATCCGTCGCATTTGTATTGCTTCAGAGATCTAAAACGGTAGACTAACAGCAGAAGTCACAATGGTCACGTACAGGAGAAAAATGAAGAAAACTTCTTCTCCCTCCTCTTTTCAGACCCGTGTGATTTGTTCAGCACAGCCTGGACAAAGGGGATAAAAGACTGGATAAAAGACGCACCTCAGAAGGGATAGGTAATATAATAGAGTATTCTTGCTGGTTTATCAAATGACTAAAAAAAAAAATTAAAAAAATTAACTTTTCAAAGGCCAAATTCTGAAGCTGCTCCCAAAACGAAGAGGCGCTTGGCAAAACTGATGGTCAAAGTGAAGGATTCTGCTTTTTTGCGCATGTCAAAGGACACTCCGGACAGCTGAGGTTTGGTTTGTTTTTTTTTTAAGAGCCCTTTTAAATGATGTATTTGCAAGCACTCTTAACTTCAGCTATTTGGGGTTTGTTCTGCAACTAGGATAGAAGCAGTTGATCCTACTGCTCCACTTACTGCCAGCTCCCATCGCAAGAGTGCGCAACCACCACTGCTAATTGCATTAGAGGCCCTGCTCGCGTTCTTATCATATCCTCACGATTATTGGTTTTTGCTCTACGTACTCTCACTTCCACAGCCCCATCGTACAGGGCCCGAGATCCAAGCTTAGTTACTGCTATGTAGCCTCTGAAAATATGTAAGAATTTCATTTTCAGCGCCCATCTAGAGCAGTTTAATATTTTAATCGCATTATGAAAAAGCATCAAGACAGAAACAGGTATCTTCCTTAGTGCTGCAATGAATGGCTTTGGTATGCCTTTGCCGCACGCACCTCAGACAGTTTGCCATTTCTTACAGCCCGGTCCATCCCGAGATGAAGGAAACATCCGCACGCTACAGGAACACAACGATTCATTCACCCCGTGCCCACGCATGCTCTCCAGGCCGCATCACACAGCATTGCTGACAGGCCCCCTGGAACTCTGTTGACATTTTTATATTTCACATCCTGTAAAATGAGGTGATACCTATTTGCCATGGCTGATAAAAAGCTCCAAGAAAGCCTAACTGTGAGTTTTATCACAGTTTACAATATGGCAGTAAATATATTCAAGTCACGTTTTATGATGACTGTACGAATGAAAGACAAGTCATTTTTCCCTGTACATTAATATTTCTTGTGGCTTAATTCCCAGCCTGATCTTTAGGTCCACTTGCTTGTGAAGACAGAGCTGTTTGGTAATTTCCCATCAGTACAAGGTTATCAAGCTTATCTTTATGAAAAGACCAAGATAAAAGGTAACAGTGTCTGTGGTCATAAAGACAAGGGCAAGAAAGGAAGATGTGAAGAGAAACAAGATCGTGTACTTCTTGCATAAGTCACTGCCTTTATGGTGCAATAATGAGTAGCTCACAGTTGATAAGGATACACGAGTTTACCACTGCAACTGTCCAGCATTCCCTACAATTTCAAGTATTTCGTAGTAATAATGTACCCACTTATTAACATACCCAGCTTTCCCCAGTGTGTGACATAACACAGAAATATTTCACTGAGTTCAAATATTTCAGATAAAATTCCTTTCAGTCTTCAACCCCAATCCTGGAAACAGATGTATTCAAGTACGAGAGTAGTCCTGCTGTACATGAGGAATCTAACATTTGGTATGTGTCTACAGTTACAAAGTCTCTGCTGCACTAAAGTATCTACCAAATTAATAACTAATACCCACTAACGAGATCAGTTGGCTAAGTTTACACAAGAATCACCAAAGACTCTCACTCATGTATGAGACGGGAAGATAAAAATAACAAGCCAAATGTAAACATGCTTCTACGCAAACGTGCCAAATTTAAGAAATAAAGTGGGGTAAGCTGGATAGTGAAATTAGGGTACTGACATAGCAAAAGATCAGAAATGTTGTAGGAAGTGACACCACGCTTGGGGAATACCAATGAGACACTCATACGAGGTACAAATTATAAAGGACAGACAAAGAAGATGACACTGTTAAAGAAGTGGTGCTATGTAAGAGTTTATTGTCAAGTTAGTCAAGTAAGTTAATTATCAATTAATAATATAGAATACTTATGAACTGAAATGCTGGTCATATATTGGAAGAACACAGGATCAAAAAAAAAAAAGTAAAGGAAGACGTCTGCTATCCCCACATAGATTAATTCAATGTCATATTAAGGTATGATACCGAGATTAAATGTTTAGACACCACAAACAACTGTTCTGCCTTGTACTATTCCCTTGACGCTCGTTATTGATCACGGTTGAACCAGGATACCAGACTACATGAACCTTTAATCTGAGCCAGTTTATTATTTACTCACCCTCACATGGCAAAGCTGTTCTGAAAAAAACCTGTGAATTCTTACTTGGAAAACTGGAATTTACACATACCAAAACACTCCATGGCAAAGTCAGTTGCCAGAAGTGATTTAAAGAAACAAGTTCCAGCGCAAATTTGTACAAACCACATTCTGTGGTTAAGGCAGACAGATTTCTAGAATCCAGGTACTCTGCGGGAGCACAGGCAATATTATTGCTCTACAATGCACAAGATTTTGATTCAGAATCTTTTTCTTCCATAGAACATGATGTTCTAAATTACAAACTAACAGGAAAGTACCAGTACAGCTAATGGAAAAAGTGACAACAGGATCTAGTTAACTATCACTTTTAGAGTAACCATCGCATTAGTCAGGTTCTAGTAATGTGTGTGGCTCTCTGCCACACTACCAAACACACCCAGCTAGCCTCCCATGCTCCTCCTGATCCCTCCTGCTTCACCTTTTGCTAGCATTTCTCCTTTCCCCACTTCCATATGCAGACGAAAGCCACATGCAGCACGCCTGGCCTACAACAGCAGCTCCCCGGCAGCCTGCTGCACCTCCTCGGCAGGGGCTCAGAATCCTCCCAGCCCCTCTGCCCACCGTGCACTGGCAGCGCTGTGACAACTGTACCTCCAGAGTTCACTTAATCCTTACACCCTGCTGCCCTCAGCCCCACTCCAGACGATACCTGCAGACAGATCCCTATTCTCCATTAATTTCAGATTTATTTCAGATGGAATAGAATCGTAGAATCATAGAATTGTTAAGGTTAGAAAAGACCCTTAAGATCATCAAGTCCAACCATTAACCTAGCACTGCCAGGTCCACCACTAAACCGTGTCCCTAAGCACCACATCTACACATCTTTTAAATACCTCCAGGGACGGGGACTTAACCACTTCCCTCAGCAGCCTGTTCCAGTGCTTGACAACCCCTCCGATGAAGACATTTTTCCAAATATCCAATCTAAACCTCCCCTGGTGCAACTTGAGGCCATTTCCTCTTGTCCTATCACTTGTTACTTGGGAGAAGAGACTGACCCCCACCTCACTACAACCTCCTTTCAGGTAGCTGTAGAGAGCAATAAGGTCTCCCCTCAGCCTCCTCCAGGCTAAACAACCCCAGCTCCCTCAGCTGCTCCTTGTAAGACTCGTTCTCTAGGCCCTTCACCAACTTTGTTGCCCTTCTTTGGCCACGCTCCAGCACCTCCATGTCCCTCTTGTAGTGAGGGGCCCAAAACTGAACACAGTACTCGAGGTGCGGCCTCAGCAGTGCTGAGTACAGGGCACTATCACCTCCCTGGTCCTGCTGGCCACACTATTCCTGATACAAGCCAGGATGCTGTTGGCCTTCTTGGCCACCTTGGCACACTGCTGGTTCATATTCAGGAACCGCTGGGTTCACGGCCTAACCTGACAGCACCCAGTCAGTCAGTCAGTCAGTCAGTCAGTCAGCCTGAGTGCACGCCCTCTGGCGTCAGGGGCTCCTCCGAGGCCTGCACCGCCCTCTGCCCCACCCTGTCCCCGGAGCCCCCAGCCAAGGGGTGCTGAGCACGGAGGGCGAGCAACACTTTTTTTAAGGCCGAAGCCAAGCGCGAAGAGGCGACCCAGCCCCCTCCATCCCCCGGGACCGGACCGGCCCGGCCTGGCCCGCCCCAGCCCCCGAGCCCGCCGCT